TCTCCTTTGGCCTCTTGTTCGCAGAAGGTTACCCAATTATGGAAACCAGTGACCTCGCCGTTCTTTATCTCGCCGACAAAAACGTGCTCAAATCCCGAGGAGTCGTTTGGTCTGAAACATAAAAAAATAATTATTGACAAATCCATACTGTGCAGTTCAACGATCATATATATTTCCAGTCTTCCAAGCACCCCTCTATAGATACCTGCCCCCTTTTGTTTTCAAGGAGAATTTCCAACTGTTAACAACTTTTCTCCGTTTTGCAACCCTGATAATAGTTTTCGCGGTCTCCGTCGCGGCTTCTTCTGTTTTCGTCAGCTTGTCGGTGGACTCTGCAGTATGCATGGCCTCATGTACGGCACTTCGGATGAGCCCTACCGTCCCATCCATCCATGACCAGGAGCGTTCTGAACCTTTACACGTTCTCATTAACATCACGATCCAATCCCCCTACATTATAGCAATCTAAGCTACGTATTTACGACAGAAGCCGTTTTCTCTGATATTTTCTTTTAAATCGGGGGTTTTCTGAACTCTGCCTCTGATTTATCTTATAGGACTTTCTCGTTCATTTCTTCCTTTTTCGATTAATGATAGTTAGCAAATCCCATTAGCTATTTTTTTAAAAGACGGTCCTAATAAATAAAGCATACTACGCATTATTATTGTTTATACGGATGCTCACTTACAACTTTATATTTATTTAACCGGCATCACTGTGTTTCAATAATGTATGGTCCCCGGGCTCTAAATATAAAATTGATTTATTTATGTCATGAAAAACATTAAATTTCTCAAGGGATATCGTCCTGGCGATGAAACCGCCTGAACGTGCACTGTGCCGCAGTAAGGGCGCATTTCCTAACTCCGATTCCTAAGTTCTACGGGCTCTAGACAGCGATTCTTTTTGTGTAAAAATTAAAACTAAAAAAGGAAAAACGACAATTCAACTCCAGATCAACTGCCCGCTACAGGCAGAATGAAAATATAACCAATCATCCTATATTTTGAAAGGGAGAAGGCAGCATTCAAGGATCATTCTAGACTATCTCGCCTGCCTTATGTACAACTGAACTCTCACTAAGACTTCTGTTTTGTGATGGTATTAAACTTAAAGAAATTATCCCAACCAAACGCTTTAAACTATTGGGGTCAATGGAGATCACGCGCACCGTGCTGTTAATATTTTCAAACTAAAATCGGCGCCACTCTCACATTTTTAGGACCATTTGTACGTACGAAAGAGCTGTAGGAACTCATATTTATTCCTTTAAACGATTGTTATAGAAATATATCTCTACTGTCACTCATTTAGTTGGATCCATTCAGACAAGAAATAGTTCGCTTTCAAATACCTTCTGTGAATAACTTAAAGTTGGGTCGCGAATCTGATTTTGTGGTATCTATTGTGTTTGAATGCTTGGCTAAGTCTTGGAGAAAAAAATAAAACGGCAGCTGGAAATTTTTTCGCTAAGCCCAGTGAATAGTATATTCTAGTAATGTATTCCTAAAATTGTATCAATAGTTGACATGACAGTGCAGCAGGAATAGGGCTATATAAGTGATGCTGCTAGTAATGGTGATAGTGGTAATTCCTATAACAGTATTTAAAGTTCAGTAGTAAGACATGCATCCTATTTTATCAATTTCAGATAACAGGTGGAGCCAGCTAGATTTTAAGGTAAGCTAGATTAGAATTATGTGTATTTAATAAAGCAAATTTACTGCTGTAATTAGGAGAACTAGACTTTAATAAAAGAATTAAGAATAACAAGCTTACGCGCCTACTAGGCCTCATCCGGGCTGAAATGTAGGATACCTGGACGACCGTTCACTTCCGGAAGATAAGTGAGACTGTCAACAATAACTTGCAGTGGGCAGTCAAATGCTCGTCTCCCTTAGCAGGGCGCCTAGGGCATTCAAGATTGAGTGGTTGAGTGAACCATCTTTAGTCACAGATCGTGTTGATTTGACACCTGGAATCTGCTATCGTTGGACGCTCCCCTGTACGCAGTGGGGGGAGGTGGAAATGGGGAGACAGTCATGGTGACAGGGCGTTATACCCGCCGAGGCTTATCTTAACACAGGGGGGTTGCTGCCGCCCGGGTGATTACGGTTCGCATGAACAGAGGGCTCAGTCGTGCGAGGCCGGGGGTGAGGGGACCCCGTTAGTAATACTGGTACTAGCACTGACGCCATTATTTGTCTGAGGGGACGCATGACCTCATGATGTGCTCTGTCTGTCAGCCGAAGTCGCTTGGCGTGGATTGTGAACTGGGGGTTATAGGTCCTCCGGTATTCGCATGCCAAAGTATGTCGAC